CTAATAGAACTTTTCCATTTTCCCATTTACTAAAGTATTCTTTAAAATCCTGAATATATACATAATTAACATTGTGCAATTAATGATGATAAACCTTTTTGTAAGATATTTAATATTCTTACCTTCCACGTAGAAACAGGTGCTTCTATGGCGCAAACAGGTTTACTTTGTTTTGTCCAAGGGTCATCAAGTTTTAATACGGTACTGACATCATGAGCTGCTTGCTCGACATCTCCCAATACGTCCATCGTAAAGCGTGGCGTTTCTGGAATTGTGATCCGGGAGTAGAGCCCCAAGATCGCTGGAATTGCACCGAATGCCAATACTATTCTCCATACACGGTCAATATACATTTGATCCTTATATATAAGGTCCTTGTATGCTGCCAAAGTAGTCACTGAAACTATAGCAGCAGCTAAAATTCCGAATCCTTGCATGGCAAAAACAGCAGATACCATTGCCTGAACAAAATAACTGTAAAAATTAAAATTGTTTTCTTTAAAAAATTTGAACATTTGAAAAATTATCAAGCTTCACGTACACCTCTTTTGTTAACTGTTGCAAATTCACTCGCGATAACTTAAAATATTAAGAACAGATATTAATATCAAATATACAATGTACTTTGCACATAGTCCAGAAAAATATTTACTGGCAGACACAGGATAATCTCCACCAATTCCAATGCCTAATATGAATCGCCAAAATATAAGCGAGCCCCAAGTCGTGATCGCAAATGAAGTTGAAGACATTGCAGAACCAATAGTTGCGATGATCATTATTGAAAGTTCCAAACCGTAAACCTATGTTATGATGATTCGTACTAATTAAATGAAAACATGGAATACGTAAAGATGTACATATATAAGACGCGTTTTTACTTTTTTACGTCCAAGGCGATCAGCTGACCATCCGAACGCCAATTGCCCTAGTAAAGTCCCACACGCTGCCGACATTTTTAGACCCATCTCAATATTTGCTGAAAGCGTACCATTATGAAACAGGTCGACATAGCTTAACATTGTAGAAACTAAATTTATGACAAATAGATCATAGGCATCTGTAAAGAAGCCAATACCAGCTATTATACATGTCCTTATGTGAAACCCTCCAAATTCAGCATTGTCCATTTGGAAAAGGCTTCTTGCGCGTATATTAAGTTCATAAGCGTCATCAGTTGAATCCGATGAAGTGAATGAATTAAGATCTGTAGTCATTTCTAAAATTTTGATATGGCATAAGAATGATTCAAATGAAACGGAAGAAAATCTTCACAATTATTATTAAAAAAGGAAAGGAATAATTAGTTGTTACATAAGGGAATGAAAAAAAAATTAACTGTAAATGCTGTAAATGCGGGAAATCGTACCTAATATAAAGTTCATCTGGATCGAGCCAAATGACATTTTATTTTGGTTGCATATGCTCCGGGTTATAAAGAATTTGCAATTCATCAAATTGATAACGAAAAGACAGCCAAT